CTCAAGATTCTTGTTCGTGAGGCGCCGCGGCCGAGGCTGTGCCTGCTGGAGCTGCACCTCCACGGGCGGCTCGGGAGGGACCGCTCCCCCTGCCCCCCCGGTGCCGGGCAGGTGGCTCACGCCCAGGGTGCCCCAGGACGGCGGGCACCGTCCGCAGGAGAGCAGGGCCTTGGCTGGGTGCTACCGCTAAATAAACTGGCCAGGGATTCAGCTCTCTCAAAGGCCTCCTGATGGTAATATGGCCTGTCATATCTTCCCATATGGTCCTTACCTTCTGCGAACAGCACCGAGATTTTCCTGCAGAATTACTCTCTTAATACACACTTCTGTTCAGAGTCTCAGCCGCCTTGTCCTGATACCTGTACCAGGTCACCAGTAGGTTGCCCGATGCATCACTTTTAAGGGGACGTTTCTCAAAGCCGTCGCACACTCACGCGGTGCTGAATCCTGATGGCTGCTCCCTTTCTCGGGACGTGGTGGTACTGTGGTGTACCGGCGCTTGGAGTTTCACCGGCGTTTGTGAACTAACTTACTGTCCCTCCCTCCTCCCGCAGGTAACGATAAAAAAGGAATATGCTTCGGATGTGTCCCAAGCGCTGGTTTGTCTCTGGGAGTGGGCCAAACCCTCTCCTCGATGGCCTGCTGTCTTGTCACATTGAGGTGAGATTAGAAGGGGCTTCGAAATGCCTTTTTCCGTTTGCGAGGTTTGTCTTTAGGCAGCTACACTGACGTTATTACAGAAAGATGCAGCTTTATTCCAGCAAGGCAAAACTGATAACCATTTTCCAACATAATTTTATAACCCATCCAAAGCCAAACCTTGCTAGCAATTGCTGCTTCCTTCATGCTGACAGCCCTTTTGCCTTGACCAAACAAGATGACTAACAGATGTTGAAGTTATCTTGGGAAACACTCCCAAGAACTGTACCTCAGTTGAAACCGTTTATCTCTTTCCTCTAATTTGCACATTCATAATGGGGACATATGGTTACATACCTCAAAGCACATTTAAAGTTGCCATATGCTACTGAATTGACACGAATTCATTCACATTTACACCACTTCCATACTAGCATTATCGAGGTCGCTGTGACCCTAAGAGGATCTTAGCAAAACCCTTAGCATCAGAGCATCTTAGCCTCACAGATGTCTAATGACGACATCAGCATCCCTCGATGCCAGAACATTCCCGTCCCTCAGCCTAAACACAGCCCGCTCCAACACCTTGGGGCACCCCAAGCTAATGTCTTTTAATTGGCTTGTTACCCAATTAACAGAAAACACAGAAAAATCCCCCCTCAGCTAAATACCTTCTTCTGTGTCAGCAGCAAATCATTATCATTTATAGTTTCCAGAACTTTTGAGATATATATATATATAAAATTAATGGTAAGTCCAGGATTCATTGAATTCCTGAGCCATTTTTTCATTAAGAACCGCTAATTTGAGCACATGATTCCAGCTAATTATTAATTAACTTGCGATCCTCCGAAGAGCGGGGCAGACTCCGGGAGGCGCGCAGCATGCCTTTTAGCCTGCTTCAGAAACGTGATTTCAGAGCGCCACAAAGAGACAATCCTCGAGCAATCGTTGACCGTTGGCTTGGTCAAGTTTTGGGATGTTCCCGGGTGGATTGGTGCGACTGGCGTTTCTCTTCCAGCTCTCGGAGGGGGGGGGGGGGGGGGGCGTTGGGGTTTCCCCCCCCCCCCCGGGGGGGGGGGGGAGCCGGCAGGCAGCCCCCGCCTCGCATCCCGAAGGAGCAGGGTCAGCGTTTACCCCTCGGCGGGGGGCGATGTGCGGGTCCGCAGCCGGCGGGGTGCGTGCGGCCGTGGGGCCCGGCCGGCACCGGCCCGGGGTCGTGCTTTGCTGTCGCTTACGCCGTGCTGCCGAGGCACAGAGAAGCGTTTTATCCGCCACGGCGTGTCGTTTTCAAACACGTCACCTTTGGGTTAAACAGGCGTCTGGCTCAGTGCTTCAACCTCTGCAAATGGATCCGTTTTTAATGTGTAAGTGGAATCTATCTGATTATTTGAAACACTTATTTTAGCGCTGTTTTATTTGATCTTCAAATCAAAAATTATTTTTTATAGACGTGATGTAGTACCGAAATACCCCAGGGGATTTTTTTTTTCTGTCTTTTTTTTTTCCATGCAGGAACGCGTTTATTTGGGCCCAGGAGTACCTCGGCGAGCGGCCCTAACGGCATCCCGTAGGAACACTGCCTGGATGACCAAACGGAGGGGCCCAGGCGGGTGTTATTGGCGCCGTTACGGCCGTGGCGTGTCACAGCAGGCGCGGGGGCTGCCACCAGCCCGATGAACGCCGAACGCGTACCGGCAGCGCCCGCGCTCGGTGAGGCCCGGCGGGACCGAGG